GCCGACTATTTATGCGTCTACCACAGGGCTGTAAAGAGCAAAGACAAATGGAATGCCCGCATGCGGCTCAGCCTCACTTATTTGAAGCAATGGTGAGTTAAATCAGTACGGGGGGAGGGGGGGGGGGCAAATTGATTTGTCAACATGAATAAGAAACACTGTGGCTGAGATAAATGCAGCGTCACGTAAATTTGCACAAGACTTTCATTCCATGAGAACCTTCTGGAATGGCGAGCAAGGCGGCAAGCTTCAGTGTTTCTGTGTTTTTTTTTTTCCCCCCAGAAGGAAAGAAATTAAATGGAGAGATGAGATTAGTTAGCCTCGCCATCCGATTGGACACGTGTGTCTTGCTGCGATCCACCGATAAAGTGAGCAACGTCTTCCCATGGGCATCTTGTACAAAACTCCTTCAACGCAATGCGGATGGGCTGTTCTCTGACAAAGGTCATCACCGCTTGCACATCCGCAACTGGTGCTTGCAATCAGAACGTGACGACTCAATAAAAAATTGGACAAAATCATGTTTTTCCGCTGATCAAAACAAGACTAGATTTCAATAATGTTTCAAGTGAAACTTGCGGTATATATGTATGTACACCACACACAGAGTGATATATTCCCCCACCCCACGTACTGTCACGAGCAAGATGAGGGGGAACGGAAACCCCAATAGTAAGGCTATGAATCCGATCATGGGCTACATTAACACCTGAACTGCTGCCAAGGGCTAATTAGCTGCACGCCACGCAGCCTCGGTGCCGTCATGAATGCAAAAGGAGGCCCGACAAAAGGACTGAGGGCATATTAGCATAATACAATTCTCCGAAAGTTGCTCATGTGACATGTTCAAATTTTGGATTCTTCATATTTGTGTCTGGCTTGAAATATTTGACTCATCAATTGAGCGCGAGGGTTGTTTTGTGGGGTCGGAATATCTAAAAGCATGGTGGGAGCCCTGACCGAATGAAGATGAATAACTAATTCATTTCTCGCCTCAATGAAACTATTCTACTATGACGGAGAATGCAAACGGCAGCCTGAGTCGTTCTTGCAAGCGTAATCTTCATGAACCAGACCAGCCAAACTAGCCCGGTCAAATGAAGAAAAAAATATAACACGGCATGTTGATTTCGCGTCTGTCTTTTGTGTATCTGTGTGGTTTCACAACAAAGACCGTTCATTTCTATCTCCCGACGACTCCTGATTGCAGAAAATGCTGCTCACCACATTGTGGTTGGAAAAAAAAAAAAAAAACAACAAAAACAACAACAACCCTAACATGCCATAATTACATACTTTTCCACTTTTCTTAACAGTTGAGTCCTGACAGGGCTCAGCGCTCACTCAGTGCAATTCTTGTAACTGTGATCCGAAAAAAATATTGGCTGGAAACGGAATATTAAATCAGACAAATGCTGTCATTCGCGAGTAAGGTCTTCAACTTTTTCTTCCACGCAAAAGCTAATGGCAACATGCGCAATGCAAAAAAAAAAAAATTTGCACTGAATACCAGAAGTTGAAAGGCTCAAGTCGGGCGATTGAAGGAACCCCCGGAGAGCCAAATGAGGATAGCGGGAGATGGAGGGATGAGAGTAGGAGTTGAAGGCAACGGCAAGGCGTGCTCGCTGAGAAAACCTCAGGCTCCCTCCTCGCTCGGACTTTGGCTCTCACCTATTTACCTCTTTTATTCGCTCTCTAACTCTTAACGGTCTGGGTGACCTCGCTCTAACAACAAGCCGTTTCTGTTTATTTGTTTGCCAACCGGAGCGAACAGCAGTTTGGCCTTCTCTCTCCTCAAACTTCCCACTAAAGCCCCCCCTTCGACATACCGCATGCGCGCAACGCAAGCGGCCTGATCTTTTCCCACACGGGTCAGCCCTCATCAGTATTAAGAGGCGTAGTTCTGATGCTAAACTGTATTTTAGGATGTGAAAAGCGAAGCTAAACCGGCTGAGAGGGGCAATTGCGTACTTAATTCATTTTGGTAATTCGAAGACGGTCTTGGACCTGACCTCGGAAACTGTCAAACTCTTCTCGTTGCTCCATTCACACTCCATTACTACTCTAATAGCGGCAATTACCGCTTTGCTTAGCCGTGTCATCCCCAAATTCCCCCCTCTGAGCATAGGGAGCACAAATCGTTTATCTTTCCATCCTCCGGGCTACACTACGAGTACCATGGGAAGGCAAACGCGCAGGTAAATAAGCGTTGAGGGACATGCGCACGCGTACGCTGAGCTCGGAAAGAAACAAGGAGACATTGTTATTCCGCCGAAGATGTCGGTCATTCCAGAACACATTTGTTTTTTTTTTTTTATGAGCATGGCTGCAGATATCGATCGTCGGGTCACGCAGTTGGCCAAGCAGGCGGGAAGTAAATGAAAATGGAATCTAAGTAATCACCTGCTATGTAATGCAGTTAGTCTTTATTACCCGGAGATAAATATGATAGATCCACATTCCCGTATGCAATCATGTGAACTGAGCGCACCGCTTCAACCACGTTGACCTTACATACCGGGGTCACTGTCAGATCTTCATATGTTTCATTTTATGACGAAATAAAGAGATAAATACGGCGCGAGCGATGCTCTGGTCTCGCTTCACGATCGCGGGGTGGGCATGTTTATCAAAGAAATCCACAGGGTCAAGCTCAAACCTTTCCCACGGAGAGCACTGATATTATAACAAAGGAATAGAAATGATGAGTTGCCAACCTGATGGAAAAGGACCCCGTTTGGAAGTCAATTCCCCGCCCTCCCGCATTCTTCCGCTCACACGACGCGCAACGGCTTATAAAGGGTGGCTCGAAAAAGAAATGGTGACGCCACACCGAGAAAACAAAAGTCACGTTCAAATATTGTTCATCCATCCATCTATTTTTCGATCCGCTTGATCCTCACAAGGGTCGCGGGGTGCGCTGGAGCCAATCCCAGCCGTCTTTGGGCAGTAGGCGGGGGACACCCTGAACCGGTTGTCAGCCAATCGCAGGGCACACAGAGACGGACAACCATCCGCGCTCACACTCACATGAGGGACAATTTAGAGCACAGGTGTCAAACTCAAGGCCCGGGGGCCAGCTCAGGACCGCCAGGTCATTTTAAGTGGCCCGCGAAAGCAAATCATGTGTGCCAACTTACTAAAATCTGTACTGAAATGTCAAATTGTCATATGTAATAAAAAACGTTGAGATTTTGCAATAATTTGGTTACCCTGTTAATACTCACATGAACAATAATTGAACAAACAATTTTATTGACTGATTTCAAAACTGGTACTCTATTAATTTGTTGTGTACAAGTAATCATTTTGTGGTCTCACTGTCATAACGGCCCTCCGAGGGAAGACATAACTCCAAATTGGCCCACGACTAAAATGAGTTTGACACCCCTGATTTAGAGTGTTCAATCAGCCTGCCACGCATGTTTTTGGAATGTGGGAGGAAACCGGAGTACCCGGAGAAAACCCACACAGGCACGCGGAGAACATGCAAACTCCAAACAGGAAGGCCGGAGCTGGAATTGAACCTCCACACTATGAGGTCGACATGCTAACCACCGGAGCACCGGGCCCGTTAAAATATTGTATCATACCGAACATATGAAGGTCATTTTATACGAGCACATTGGGAGTGTGTGATATGCAATGTGTAATGATTTACCAAAAACATCTACAAGACAAGCCAAGTTACCTTCTTGTGTGTTCTTGAAACCCACTCATACTGGAATTGGGCACATCCACAACAACAGTGGATGGCATTCCAGCCATTACGCTCCGGTAGTCATGCGCTTAACAAGAGAGTGGTGCAAAAATGTTGCGGTTTCTGCATAATGCCACTCTTTGTGATTCTTTTTTTTAAATGTTCAAAAATCAGACAACAAAATATGTTTTTGATTTTTTTATTGGAAAGCAACAGTGTGTGTGTTGCTCTAGCTACGCAATAATGACCAGACACACCAAGTGGCCACAACATGAGCATTTTTCATAAGCTGTCAAGGGCAGCAATGTTAATATTGTGGTGGTAAGGCCAAGCTATGAATAAAATATTTGCAACAGAATTGTGTGCATTTTGGTCTTTATGATTCCAAAAGGGTGAAGAGTTGCATTGATGCCCGAGTGACTCAAACTGTAAAAATTAATTCCTGTGTCTACACCTTCAACCAGAATCTTGCCATAATTTAATCGGTTTATCTTTGGCTCCAATTTTTGGGAACCGTTTTTCTTTTTTTTTTGCATAATCCTGCTAACTGTATAAATTCACGATATGGTAATGAATGCTGTGGACAACTTATTAAAACAACAAAGCAAGTGGTAGACTTTTGTTCGGTACGGACTGCCAAATGAGACCAAGAAGAGAAGGAAAAATAAGATTGAAGGTTGTTGTTCCTAAAATGGAATATTTTACACGTGGTCAAATGACCCCAAACTCATCATTTGATACTTGTTTGTCCTATCTTATAAAAGATGAATTTTACTGATCATCTTTCTAAAATGTTTGTCCTCATTTGAGTGAGCTGGGTAAGATTCCGCACTGGGTTGATTCTTTAGTGTTTCGTATTCGTATTAGAAAGTGGAACCTTCCGGATAAGGTTTGGTTCAACAATTTGGCACTTAAAATGAAAGACGTTTCATTCTCTTTTGTTTTATGCGTCAGTTTGACAGTAAACTTCAACACAGAGCGATAAACAGCTTCAAGCAGGAAGACTTTGCCTCTTGTTTGGACAACTGCATGAGCGACTCTTATTTTGTTTTACGACAGCCTCCGGCAAGACGCATTTGTCATATTGATCCGGGTTCCCTTGAACAAGTTTATCTGTGTTTTAATCCGTTTAAATGTAATCACGTGTGAGGGCGTGGTACAACTAGATGGCCACGTGTCGTATTTTTTTTTTTCATATATCCCCCACAATAAATGGAGCTCCACTGTACAACGGAATATTGCCGTGTGTATCGCCATGCTGAGGAGACGGCGTCAGACATTTTGCGGCAAACATGGTTACCTTGTCACATCTCATGAGGCCCAGGTAGCGCAGGGATTTGCTGCTCTCTGCGATTTGCATGGCGCCCTGGTCTGTGATGTCCTTACACCAACCGGCATCCACGGTCTCGATGGTGCTGCTATACTGGCCTATGGCTATCAGAGCTGCAAACACGGGGTGAGAATTTGGGGGAAGGAGGCAGGGTGGGGAGAGGAGAGGAGGCACAGAAATGAGAAAAGGCGTTAGTCTGACAACCTTTCTCATGCAAATGTAACAGCATCACGCTCCCGCAGGGGCCGACTGAGATTCGAGATGAAACCAGGGCAAGTTTTTGTGGCCACAGATGTGACACATTCTTTTAGCGTTGACGCAACACCCCGCTATCATGCACGCGCACACCCCATCGCGCAGACACAAATCTCTCACACACCCGCGCTTGTTTGGACTGCTGCAAGATGAATGTATGACAGTGTTAGCGTTGGTCCACAATGCCGAAGCGATGGCGTCCCGCCAGTCCATCATTTACAGTGCACAACACAAATGGGAAATGTCATGTCGTATTTTCTCGGCGAACACAACCACGATTTCGGAATTCGGAGTCTCACTCTTTCACATTAGAAATTTGAATTTGTGATTCGTGATTTGGGGCGGCCCGTTGGACGAGTGGTTAGCGCGTCGACCTCACAGTGCAGAGGTCGCGCGCTCGATCACGGCTCCGGCCTTCCTGTGTGGAGTTTGCATGTTCTCCCCGGGCCTGCGTGGTTTTTCTCCGGGTACTCCGGTTTCCTCCCACATTCCAAATACACGCATGGCAGGCTGATTGAAGATTCTAAATTGTCCATAGTTGTGATTGTGAGCGCGGATGGTTGTGCCCTGTGATTGGCTGGCAACCGGTTCAGGGTGTCCCCTGCCTACTGCCCAAAGACAGCTGGGATAGCCTCCGGCACCCCCCGAGACCCGTGTGAGGACAAAGCGGATCGGAAAATGGATGGATGGATTAGTGGCTAGCACCCGTGCCTCACTATGCTGCAGTTCGAGGTTTGAAACTCAAGTCGGGCCTTTCCTTTGAAGAGGTTGCATGTTCTTGGCGTGCTTGCACGGGACCTGTGCATACAGTTCGGTAGGTGTGAAAGGTGGTGGTTTATCTATTTGTGCCCTGTGATTGGTTGGCGACCCCGCCACCAACCCAAGGTCAGTCGGGATAGGGCGGAGAACTTATGCAGTCATGTATACATATGCGAAAGGGTAATTACTCCCATATTCCAATATGCCGAGATAAACAACCGTCTTGTCAACTGATGATTGGGCCAGCGGAAGGAGATGTGTGCTTCGACAGTCGATTGATTAGCCGGGCCTGATCTTTGTTCTCCCACTTTCTCACAACACCCGCTAATTAGAGCGGGAAAGGTAGGTGGAGCAAGGCTGAGAGAGAGAGAGATGAAAGAGGAAAGCTAAAGACAGAGCCAGCCTTTGACAGAACCGCTAAATAGTCACTTAGCCTCATGATGTCGTTTTCACATTTGCACCACAAAATCAATTGACCAGCGGGGGAAAGTGAAAGATTCTGCACTTCCAAAAGTTTGGGAAACATTCACCGCAATACTTTAATTCCAACACGTTAGGCCGCTGACAGAAAAGGTCGTCTAATGAAGTGTGTTAGGGTCCAACCAAGAGAAGCTCAAAGTTAGAACGTGACGTTAAAGAAAGGGGAATATTGATCATTTTCTGCATGCAATTATCCATCTTTCCTCAGATTCATTGATCATGTGTACACTATGTAACATATGTATCGTATAGCTCGGGGCAAGCATTTCACATGTGGTTCCTTTTGTGCTTCAGCGTGCTTCAGATCGCCAAGAGTAAAAGCAATTATAGCTCAACAGGCAGTAAAAAAAAAAGCCTTTGAAGTTGCAGTATGTTTCGTGTAAAGCGTTACTGCGGGGACGAGAGCGTGCGCAGTGTCGAGCCGTGCACACACGGGACGTGAATGTGTGTTTGGGTGTGTTCGACCCTTCTTGTCATGTCCAACCACATTATCCCAAATGTAATTACCGGGGCTCCCAACTCTTGTTAATTGCATTCCCACAGAGCTTCAATTAGGATTTCAATGGAAAAAAAGACGAGCACATGAGATGAAAACTGAATTTACTCGACAGTGGACCGTCAAAAACTTTTTGGAGCGGTCAGACCTAAAATAGCAACAAACTGAAGGTGTAAAAGTGACAACAATCTAGCATCTGAGGAAAAACAGGACAGGATATGAGAGCAACAAATTCATGTCCCAATTCAGCATTGGTACCCATGAGAGAGTGCATCGGACCTTATAAATTGGAAGATTTCCTGGTCGCATCACATTTTTTTTATATTACAATGCTAGGTGGCTACATGTGAGCATACCTAACGTTACATAATTTACTCCCCCCCCCCCAAAGGTAAGTACATGCGGGGCGGCCCGGTGGTCGACTGGTTAGCGTGTCGACCTCACAATGCAGAAGCGCAGGTTTCGAATCCGGCTCCAGACTTCCTGTGTGGAGTTTTCATGCTCTCCCCATGCCTGCGTGGGTTTTCTTCGGGTATTCCAGTTTCTTCCGACAATCCAAAAACATGCGTGGCAGGCTAATGGAACATTCTGAATTGTACCTTGGTGTGATTATGAACGCGAATGGTTGTTGGTCGATGTGTGCCCTGCGATTGGCTGGCCGAAGACAGCTGGGTTAGGCTCCGGCATGCCCCGCGACCATTGTGAGGATAAGTGGATCAGAAATTGGATGGATGGAAGTACATGCCCCACGAAAGCTGCATGTACATCAGAATAGTTTGGTAAGATTTGGTAAAGACCCTTGGAAAAAGAAAATCTAACTCTTGCTGATATTAAGAGACAAATTATCGTTTTAGTCGCAGCCTAATCTCAGACATGGATATTAAAACGATTGAGATGACGGGAGTGCGCGGTGACTCCAGTGAAGCTCGAAAACATCCTTCTGACTTTCAGTTTCTTGTCTGAGACCGTGACAATCTTTCGGGGTAAACCCAGCATCATACTCAATAACTTCTTGGCACTCAAACTTGCATGATTTCTTTTGAGGCAAATGGTTTTGGAATCTCTCAAAGGATAGTGATCAGATTTGTGGCTCCACTTTAGTTCCTCTTTTGCAGGGACTCCGTTTTTTCCCACTGAATTTACCGTATACAGACCAAAAAGAAAAAAAAAAAAAAAAAAAAGAAGAATCAAGGCAGACAGGTGCTTAATGCAGTGAATTAGAAGATGCGCGAGTCAATAGATTGTCCGCGCATTTCGCGATTGCTGCGCTGCCCTCACGTGCGCGCGGTTGAGTTTCAATTCCACGAGACTTCACGGGGGAGAGCACGCGGCCCTACGAGGAAGCAAATGAAGCTCAAGATCATTTTGTGGGGGTCTGACGCAAACTGAAAGGAGTCAGATAATGCATCGGTCAGAACAAAGCAAGCGTCGGGGGCAATCACACTCGTGGCCATTAGAGCCTAATATCCCTGAATGCGCTCGTCTCCTCCCTGCTCCCGCCATCACCCTCCATCGGTGGACTGTAAACTGCAACCACTCCCTCGGGGGGGTAAATGGAAATCGTTGGCTGCTTTTTGCAAGGGAAAAAGCCTTTTTTTTTCTCTGAAAAAAAAAACGTTTTTTGCTAGAGCAAAATCACTTTTGTTCACCTGGGTGGTGAAAGTGGAGTGCAGTCGATGGATGGAGACTTCATTGCATTTTTCTTTTCGAAACGGTCAAAAGTGGCAATTAAGATTGAGACAGACCAAAGTCCCATATGAAGGCATACGCATAAGGAAAATGTCGGACTGTTAGCTCGCGAGTTGAGATGAACAATATTTGAACAAAAGGTACTGATATTGAGGAATCCAAATCTTCATTCTTATTCTTACCAGGATAATTTATGCTCTTCATAACATCATTTTCAAATGGGGAAAATGGCAAAATCACATGACAATTTTTTTTTTTACTCATAAATGGACACATGCATTTGATTTTGGTAATCCCAATAAATCATATCAAACACATAAATAGAATTGAATAAAATACGAACACATCCATCGTTGTGGTCAATTAAAACCTTTCTGCGATTCCTGTTCTCATTTAAGGGTCATTTCAATGACATTTAAATTGGACCGGCAAAATGGTGCCATTATTAAATCCAGCTTCTTTCAATTTAGGCAGCTGGCTAAAGTCAAACCTCTCCGTTCTCATGAGCACTTTGAAACAGTAATTCATGCCTTCGTCACATCCGGGCTGGATTACTGTAATGCGCTTTACTTTGGAGTCTGCCAATCCTCCATTAAACGTCTCCAGTTGGTCCAGAATGCTGCTGCTCGCCTCTTGACTGGTACTCGCAAGATCCTATTATTTGTTTTTCAAATCTTTACATTGCCTCGCTCCAACCTTACCTACCTGAGCTTCCCCGCCCCTACGCACCTGCCCGGTGCCTCAGGTCTGCGGACCAGACATTATTAGAGGTACCAAGAACTAAGCGGAGGCTCAGAGGGGACCGAGCCTTTTCCGTTTCTGGTCCCTCTCTTTGGAATGACCTCCCACTGAACATTCGGCAAGCCCCCTCGCTGTCCGTCTTTAAAACTCATTTGTATTCTTTGGCATTTGACTCAGTCTTGATCTTAGTTTTACTGTTTTTGTGCTTTCTATAGTCTTCGTTATTAATTTATTGTTTTATTGTTTATTGTTGTATATATGATATTTGCTCCTCGGTGGTTGTTTTAAAGTGCTCTCTCAATACAGTTGAGTTGAGACATCTAACATCCTTTAATCCTGTCTAGGTTTCTCTGTTTCATCGACATGGACTGAAAAAAAAACAATATTAATAAATAAAATTGTTAGTTTTTTTTTTTTCCCTCCCGAAAAACTTGTGATTGGCAGAGTCTAAGTGACCATGGGATCAGGAAATTGTCTTTGCTGACTGGTAATGATTTTCTGTCGACAAAAAAAGATGAAGCGATATGCAAGAAGAGCTCACGTAGGTGGTGGTGGGGTGGGGGGGAAGAAAAAAAAGAGGCGAGGTGGAAGAATTGGAGGAGAAAAGAGAAGGAAAATCACATTTTGGCAGCCAGAGCTGTGACTGAGTGGTGACTACACACTCAATGACGGTAATGAGGACACACTTGGCGG